TTTGTATGCAAAAAATACTAAATGGAACGAACATATTTGATTTATTCATAGATGTAGATAGAGTTTTTTGTTATTGTTGTAAATTATTTAATATGAATACATCTACATATTTATTAGCATATAAATGTAACAATGATTAAAATAATATTTCTAGTGTACTAAAAAGACACGAAGGAAGTAACAAACACATTCTTAATATGAGGTCGTGGATTGACTTAGAAACTAGATTAGCAAATAATAAACAATTGATAAGCACATCCAAGAACAAATAAATAAAGAAAAAGAACATTAGAAAAATGTGTTAATAAGAATCATTGTTGTAGTAAAAACTTTAGGAAAAAATAATTTGGCATTTTGTGGAACAAATGAAAAGATTTACGAAGAAAATAATCGTAATTTTTTAATTATAATTCAAATGACTCCGGAATTTGATCTTATTATGCAAGAACATATTAGGAGAATTAATGACAAAGAAATTCATAATCATTATCTTGGACACAATATGAAAAATGAACTTATTGGTTTATTAGGAGAAGAAGTTAAAAGTAAAATTATTAAAAAAGTAAAAGAGGCTAAATACTTTTCAATAATACTTGGTTGTACTCCCGATACAAGTCATAAAGAACAACTGTCAATTATCTTACGATGTTTAGATCTTTCAACAACTCCAATTGAAGTTAATGAGTACTTTCTAGGATTTTTAATTCTCTTTCATACAACCGTTAAAGACTTATATGATCTTATAGTTGGTGAAATAAAAAAATATAGGACTAAATATAAATGATGTTAGGGGTTAATGTTATGACAATTGATCAAGTATAAAAAGAAAACATCAAGGTGTACAAAAACGATTGTTAGATATTAACCCTAGAGCATTCTACACTCATTGTGGTTGCTATAGTTTAAAGTTAGTAATTGATGATATAGCTAATTCGTGTGATAAAGCTAGTGAACTTTTTAGAGTTATACAACGTATATATTCGATATTTGTTTCATCAACTCAAAGGTGGAAAATATTAGAAGATAATAATTAAACCTAACACTTAAATCACTATCGCAAACTCCTTGGAAAAGTAAGGTAGAAAGTGTAAAAGCAATTAGATTTCAAGCATAACAATTAAGATAAACACTTTTACAATTATCTAAAAGTTATGGTGATCTAAAAATTAAAAGTGAGGTTAAATGTTTAGCTACATATGAACTTTAAAACTATGAATTTTTATTAGGAATGATTATTTGGTATGGTGTTTTGTTTGCTATTAATATTATTAGTAAAAGCTTGCATTCAAATGATATGTGTTTTGATGATGCTATAAATCAACTAAATGAATATTTTTGTTTCTTTGTAGAATATAGAGAAAACGGATTTGAAAATGCTTTAGATTATGCAAAAGAATTGACTTTAAAAATGAACATAAATCCTGAATTTCTTGAAAAACGTAACATTCAAAGAAATAGACAATATGATGAAAATGTTGCTAATGAAACTATTAAAACTCATGTTTAGTAACTGATTACTTTTTATATATAGTACATAAAGTTATTACTTCACTTAAAAGTAGATTTTAACAATTTAACGAATTCAAAAATATTTTTGGTTTTCTATTTAATATAGAAAAGTTAAAATCATTTGTTGAAAATACTTTAAAAGAACATTGTTTACATCTTTAAAAAAATTTAAAGCATGATGATAGTTTAGATATTGATGGTTTAGATTTATTTTATAAACTAAAACTTTTAAGACATATTGTACATTTAGAACGTAATACAATTATTAATATACTTAATTACATTAAAATTTTTAGTTTTTTCCAAATACATATGTTGCCTATAAGACTATGTTAACTATTCTTGTAACCGTTGCCTCTATAGAAATAAGTTTTTCTAAATTAAAACTATTAAAAATTATTTAAGATCTTTAATGTCACAAGAAATATTAAATGAATTAACTATTTTGTCAACTGAAAAACATTTAATAAACGAAATTGATTATGAAAAATTTATTAAAGAATTTGCATCTAAAATGATTAGAAAAATTAACTGTATGTCATAAAATATAGACAAAATTACAAAAATAATCCCTGTGGTTTGCTAAAAGTCACAAAGTCAGTCCCTGTTAATTTTTTTGATGTAAATTGTCCTAATGGTTTGCAATACTTGCAAATATGACCCTTTTTACTAACGTCGTTAGTATTTAGCCGTTAGGGACTGAATCTGTAAGTAGGGGTGTAAACGAGCCGAGCCGAGCCCGAGCCTGACAAAGCTCGAGCTCGGCTCGTTTAATTTGAGGAAGCTCGAGCTCGAGCTCGAGCTCGATTCGAGCCTTAAAATGAAGCTCGAGCTCGGCTCATGAATAATTTAGTGGGCTCGCGAGCCTAATCGAGCCTAAACGAGCCTCTGTGTGTGTGTGTGTATGTATATATATATATATATATATGTGTGTGTGTGTGTATGTATGTGTGCTTGTGTGTGTGTATGTATATATATATATATATGTATATATATATATATATATATATATATATATATATATATATAGGCTCGTTTAAGCTCGTTTAGGCTCGCGAGCCCATTAATTGAAGCTCGGCTCGAGCTCATTTAATAAACGAGCCTCATATTTAGGCTCGAGCTCGGCTCGGGCTCGTTTAATTCGATCTCGAGTCGAGCTTTTAACGAGTCGATCCCGAGTAGCTCACGAATAGTTCGGCTCACTTACACCCCTATCTGTAAGGGTATTTTCGTCTTTTCAAGTATATGAGGAACTGAAATCGTTACATTTAGTAAACCAAAGGGACCATCTTTGTTATTTGCCTTAAAAAGTCAAGAATTGAAGGGGTTGCGGTCGAACTCACGACCTCAACCTTTATGGCAAATCTCTTAACCAACTGAGCTAAACCCTTCCACATTTTTGCTTTCCTAAAACAAATTTATATAGTACGAAAATCGTTAAAACATATATAATAATAATAATAATAATAATAATAATAATAATAATAAAACATATTTTTAAAAGTTTTTTTTTTTAAATAAAACAAATATATTTTTGCATATTATATTAAAAAAATTATACAAATAATATATATATATATATATATATATATATATATATATATATATATATATATATATATATATATATATTAAATGTATTTTGTTTCGTTAAATATGTTTTTTTATATATTTTAAAAATACATTTTCATATAATATGTTATTACGTTGTATTTGAATGCAAAATCGGTCGAATTGTTTTTATTAAAATATATCACATTAATTTTGGAATAACCACATTTTCTTAAATGTTTTGTTACATAGATTTGACAATAGTAATCCGGACATTGTTCGTTGGTATTATAATACCATATTTCCAATTTAGGATGAAAAATATACTTATATCTTCGTTAAGCTAACGCTTATAAATAACATTTTATTTTTTATTTTCATTTTTATAAACATAAACAAGATCTCATGAATTCCAGCAAAAAATGTTATGTTTTTTTTAATATGTATTTTTTAAATCAAAAAACGGTTTTTGGAAAACCGATTGAGCCAATACAAAAACTTATTTGACCGATGAAACATATTATATAAAAATGTATTTTTTAATTACATAAAAAAACATATTTACATAAAATAAATACATAAATAAAATATAAAAAACATACTTCAAATAAAATAAATATATACAAAAAACTTTTTTATGTTTTTTAGGATTACGTTTTTATATGATATGTTGTTACGTTTTTTTATGTATTTAAAAGTATACAAAAACATATTTTTTAAATACATAAAAAAATATATTTTACGTAAAACAAATATGTAAAAAAACAAATAATTGTTTGTATTTTTTTACAATACCCTAAAAATATATTTTGTTTTATTAATTTTTTTAAAATATGTTTTTTTTAATATTTTATTATTAATTTATTTACGATTTGTAGATAATATTAGTTAGTTTTCGAAAATATAAATCAAATGTTGGTTAAGGTTTTGGTTGATTAAGGGACAAAGGTATGAGGTCCGAATCTAGTATCTTTCATTTTCTATTATTTTAAGACAAATTACAAAAATGGTCCCTATGGTTCATCAAATGCCACGAATTCAATTCCTTTATACTTGAAAAGATGAAAATACCCTTACAGATTCAGTTCCTAACGGCTGAATACTAACATCGTTAGTAAAAAAGGCCATATTTGCAAGGTTTACAAACCACAAGGATCATTTACATAAAAAAAATTAGCAGAAACTTACTTTGTGGTTTTTGGCAAATCACAGGGACCATGTTTGTAATTTTGTCTAAAATATATTTAAAAAAAAAACATATACATAACAAAACAATTGAACTCGGTTATTTATAAATTTTTTAGTTTATTATTCCATTTCAATCTCACATAAATCTCAGATAAATAATAGTTTATAACACTTAAATTTTTTATTCATTTATAACCTCAAACTAATTTAACCGGCCATATGCCAAAGCTATAACAAATTTAACATCATCACTACATTTGCTGTAAAAAGAGCATAAATTAAGAAAATCAGAAAACTATTACGTGGACCTGTGAAATCTTAACTATTACAAAAGTGAAACGTTTCTTAAACAAGAACAGAACACCATTATTTGCCAATCTCTTGAGATCTTCAATGATACCTGCATTTATGTAAAAAGATTCCACCTTTATGAAATATGCAATCTTGCTAAGACACGTATATGTAATGAGAAACTAAAGTGACACTTTCTCAGGACATAATACACCTCACCATTATTTGCCAATAAACAAATATAGTGGCATGTATCATTGGGGGATACAGCAGTGTTGGCCAAACTCCCAACACAACGAAGGAATGCCCATATTGCTGTCAAGAACACGCATTACATACTTGTACCATGCTTTATCGTATATCTAATGACCAATAATGTCATATTCAAGTATATATACCAAAGCATAGAGGATAAGGTTACTATAACAAAAACTCCTCAGCTTACCTTTCGACTCACAAAGATGGCTGCTGCTTCAAGATTTAGCATCAGATGCCAAACAAAGTCCATTAGCTTGCCTAGCAGATCGCATCCAACCACTCTTCGAATCGAAGAACTGCTCAACAAGATCAAAACAACAACAGCGTCTACAGAGACAATCTGCAGTGGTTTATCCCAGCTGACAGGATTGTACGAATGCATGGATGAGCTACTAATTTCCTCAAACACCCACGTTTTGATGTCTCGACAACAAAACAAGAAATGGGTCGATGAGCTAATGGAGGAATCTGTGATGCTCTTGGATGTTTGTAGCAATATAAGGGATATTCTATCAGAAATCAAAGGCCATAGTAGGGATCTTCTTTGTGCTCTACGGAGGAGAAAGGGAGACTTGAATATCCAAAACAGCATAACAAAGTACAATTGCTTTAGAAAGAAGATGATAAAAGACGTTAGAAAATTGGTTGCTAGTTTAAAGCAAGTCGATAACGTGACCAGTGGTGGCTCAGTGGTGGTTGATTCAGATAACCACCAGCTTGCCGCAACGATCAAGGCGGTAATGGGCGTTGTTGAAATGACGATTTCGGTTTTCAACTCTTTCTTGATGTTCTTATCTGTGCCGATTTTGAAGGCAAACAGATGGTCGTTTGTTGTATCGAAGTTGATACACAAGGGGATTGTTGCATGTGAAACTCAACAAGAACATGGAATTCTGAATGAATTGGAAAGTGTTGATTCTGCATTGCAAAGATTATGTAAACATGGATCGTTGAGTGGCGAAGGGGGGAACGTGGAGATTGCTCAATGTCGATTGCAGAGACTGGGAGTTCAGATTGAAAACATGGAGAGTGGGTTCGAATACATGTTTAGGTGCTTGATTCGAACCAGAGCTTCTCTTCTCAACATCGAAAACATGCATATGCATTAACTTTTTTAGCGGATATGCCTATGCTTTCGAGTTTTTTATTTGGATAGCTCATGTACATTCATGCAAGTGCATATGAACATGTAAATATACGTTGTAGCTTCTGTATTACTTAATGGACTTATAAAAAATTATTCACGTAAGTTATCAATGGGTGTTCATTTTTTTCGGTGCTGGAAAAACGAATTAATGGAGATCATTAGGAAAATTAGATTTTTCCGGTAAGTTCAAATTTTACACAAAATTGCTCTCATTAATTTTATATTCCTTTTATTTCCCCAACTCAGTTGTCGTATTCCAATATTTTAAACTATATTTATTCATATCAGGAATGCATAAGTTTAATGAAAAAAAACTAAAATAAAATCTCCGCCACAAAAGGTTTTTCATGGTATTGCTCAAATGCAATTCGCCAATTACCATTGTTAAACATTATCAGCTTACATATGTAGTATTTTTGACGTTTATATGGTGTAACGACGACCAAGATTTCAAGTTGTGGAACACTAAAAGCAAGAGAAATAATAAGTCAATTGTAAATTTGTAATTGAAACTGCGAATACATTTAGAAGGCACCATGTTATGAAAAGACCAGCCGGTCAATGGAACGGTCTTTCATGACTCACATCTCCCAAGCAAAAGAGCTGTGTACTTTGGCCGACTTTCTAGGCTAACTTTGACTTTTGTGGCTCCAGTTTCAAGTTTTTCCTAATTTACTAAATAAGGGGTGTATGTGGAACGAAAAAGTTGTTGAAAATAATAGTTGTTTTGAGGTTTTTTGAGTAAGTTGCATGGGCCTTGTATAATGCGAAACCGAGTGGAATGAATGTGTTTGTGTTTTGAGGATGGGTATCTGATGTTAAGGTAATTTTTATTTCAACCCTATGTTCGAAAATTATTGTATTTTATCCCTTGTGATTAAAAGGAATTGCAAATGACTCATAGTAGCAATATGGTATTTTGGTCCAGATGTAGTACGTTGAGCGTACGTTATGTATGTTAGGTGTATTAGGCGTGCCCTAATATGCTGGTCGTACGTGAAGAAAGTGCGAACCCTAAATTTTAGAATTTAGTCCATATACAAATCCTATTATAGCCTCATGTCTTATTTCTTCATCAATCTCTCTGTGTGAAAAACGACCCCAAGCAAACCTAAAGTGAGAAGAATGCATCTTGAGCTCATTGGGGTGTTTTGTAGGTGTTCTTGAAGAATAAGAAAAAGGTGGTAAGAAGAGCTTGGGGCTTGAAAGCATATTGGATTTGGGATTTCCTTCTTGTTAGCAACCTTCAAGAAGTATAAAGTTTACAACTTGATTGTAAATCTAGACATTTCTTCCTTTAAGATACTTTTTGTCCCAAATATGGTGACTCTTAAGCATGACATGCTTTTAACCCAATAAATCAGACCTTAGTAGGGGTCTTCATCATAAAAAGGTGGTCTTCATGGTTAGTTTTGCTCCATGCATGCTATAGAGGGTATTAGACCATTTCCAATCCATCTCTATTTTTCTCCCAAAAATGGAGTAAACAATGGGACAAATAGTGTTTCATCTCCAACCGTATTCCATTTTTTACTTCATTTTTACCCCTAAAAAGTATATTCTTAGTATATTTCATTATTTCAACTTACATAGATTGTCAAACATACCCTTCTACTAATTTAGTTTTAACAAATATATAATCTATAGTTTTTTATAACATTAATATTAAATACAAAAGATTATATTTATAATAAACTTATAAATAAATATTATATATGCATTTATAAAAATATTACACATACATATTTTTAAATAAATATTAAATAAATAAGTAATAGTATTGTCACTTGTTGGTTTTTATTAGATTATTATTGTAATATATAGGTTAACTATATGGTTAATAGCATATGTTATCCTGTTTGTAATATATATTTTAATTATAAGTTTTTTGTAATACGTTATCGTTTTTTAAAATTTCAATATGTATTTAAATTTTTATATGAATTTGATGAACAAAAAACAAACCTTATATTTATAATTAATTAATATAATTTAATATATAACAAAATATTTTAAGTATTAAATATTATATTTAAATTATAATTAGTAGGTAAAAATGAACTAGAAATATATAAATATATAACAGGGGGACTAAAATTGACAACGCAAAGTTCATCCCCATTTTGAGAAAAATGAATAGTATAACACCATATTTGGTGTAATACTATTCATATTCCCCAAAATGGGGGAATAAATGGAGGAGGGTTGGAGAAGAATGGGGAAAAAATGAAGAATGGGAGTGGGTTGGACATGTTCTTAATGCATTAAGATGTTGAGATTTTGTGTTTTAAGCACTTAATGGACATGGAAAGTCATAAAGTTGGAAACTTTATGACTCTTGAGGATATTTTGGATTTGGATATGATTTTGGACGTGAAGATTTGGAGTATTAAGCTCTTAATGGGGAAAGGGCTCAACTGGCATGTACGTTGGGCGTACCAAGTAGTACACTACGCGTACGTGGTCAGCACCCTGTAAGCTGTTCAACCACCGAGTACGCCCCACGTATAGAAGAGTACGCCCAGCGTACTCGGTTGAGTCGACTCAGTCGGGTTGGCTTGGTTAGGTTGACTAGGCTAGGTTTTGACTTGACTTCTGACCATTGACCAGGTTTGACCAAGGGTATTTTGTGGAAAATATTATTAATGGATAATGTTTTGACATTTAGGATTTGGTTTGAGTTGGTATTTAGGAGCATAGTATTGATCATCTATTCGCCAGATTGTGAGGTGAATTTTCCTCACTGTACTTACGGGTTGAAGGCACCAAGGTCGGCCCATTAGATTCATATCATGTTATACATTGATTTATGATATGCTGAGTATGGGATAGATCTATACGATTATATGATAGTTGCTTATATGTGTAGACCGGTAGATCTATAGGACTATCTGTGATTTCTGGCTGCATGATTATATGTTTGTTGATTACGTTTGTTATATGTTATATGTCGACATATTGTAACATCCCGGAATATCAAGAGTAGAGTTGAAGGGCTAAAAGTGTAAATTTGAAAGGGCAACTCGGCGAGTCCATGGATGGACTCGGCGAGTAGGGTCGCGACTTTGGTCGCGTGTTAAGTGGCCTACTCGGCGAGTCCAAAGATGGACTCGGCGAGTAGGTGCTGAGTGGAGAAAACCCTAATTTCGGTGGATGAGCCCTATATAAAGGACATTATGCTCTCTTCCTAGTCTCCTTACCTTCCCTTGAAGTCCAGAAACCCTAGAAAGCGTGATTGTGGAAGATTGGAGTGCATTTGGAGCTTGGAGAAGTACTTGTTGAAGAAATCTTGAAGGAGAAGAGACTTGGATCAAAGGGCTTGCTTAGATTCGGATTCCTTGCTGTTGGGGGCTTCATTTTGAGGTAATATCCTGTTCTTGGGCTGTGTTCTTCTAGATTTATCATTTTGGTGTAACGACCGAAAAATCCAACCAATTTAAATATTTCAAAAACAACCCGATTTCATTAAATTATTACAAAAGGTTTTCAATACAAATCATTTAGTGTATTCCCAGAATCACATTACTACAAAATCATGAGGAGCGGTACGATCACGCCTTTGCCTTGCCACGGTCTCCTGAAGAACCTGAAAAACATTAAACCACAACTGTAAGCCCGAAAGCTTAGTGAGATTCCCCCAAAATACCAACCACATATACCATACACATAACATGCTATCTCATAACGAATCACAGAACAACCATGCATATCGGGTCTACTGTGGGACTGGTCCGCCTTGTTGGGCCTTCAGTCCACCGGGTCCACCCTTCCGAGTCCAATCATGTCCCTCGAGTCTACAGTGTGGTTGGTCCGCCCGCACTGGGCCTTCAACTCACCTGGTCCACTCTCTGAGTCCAATAATGTCCTTCGAGTCTGCAGTGTGGTTGGTCCGCCCGCACCGAGCCTTTAACCCACCTGGTCCACTCTCTAAGTCTATAGTATGACTGGTCCGCCCATGACCGGGCCTTCAGTCGGTCTGGTCCACTTTTCGAGCCTCGGCACGTCTGGTCCGCCCTCGTGGGGCCTACAGCCTATCCGGACCGCTCGCTGGGCCTTATACACTTTAGAGCTAGGGTTTGGGACATGATGGCTTCATTAAGCACTCAAACACAGGGACTTTAATGCACTCTAGACCTTCCCCATTCCAGATCTGAGGTAGCAACCTCAGATCTAACCTCCAAACTCCAAAACATACCAAGATAAGCTCCCCATAAACCCCAAAATGATGAATCCATATGAGTAACAGCCCAAGAATGACATATTACCTCAAAAGAACGTCCCAACTGCAATGAAACTCGAATCCAAGCAAAGCCCCTTGCTCCAAGCCTCCAAACTCCCAAAATTCCTTCAACAAATACTCTTCAAGTTCCCAAATGCACTTTGATCCACTCACACATGAATGCTAAGGGTTTCTGGACTTGAGGATGAGTAAAGAGGCTAGGGGAATGGATGTTAAGTTCTTTATATAGGGCTCAACCCCGAGAATTAGGGTTTTCTCCACTCAGCACCTACTCGCCGAGTCCATCTTTGGACTCGCCGAGTAGGCTACTTGACACGCGACCAAAGTCGCGACCCTACTCGCCGAGTTGCCTCAAAATTTACACTTTTAGCCCTTCAACTCCACTCTTGATATTTCGGGATGTTACAATTCTCCCCCACTTAAATTAGGCTTCGTCCTCGAAGCCTACGGCAACTCATCTCCAAAAATACTTCCACAACACGCCACCTGGCCTTAACCGGACCGGGTCCCTCAAGGCATACCCATCGAAACTCGAACTCACTTTCTCTTTCCTTGCGGTGTCCTGACCACCGTCTCAAACCGGGCACCGACTTTACCCTCTGATAACCACACACAACAACTGAGTACCACTCATGATGCAACACTGCTCCAAATCACAACTATTACTCGACCCATATGAGCTATAAATAACTATGCACCACCCGATTCCCGATCCGAGTCCA